AGCGGGGAGGGGAGGAGAAGGAGCAGAGTAACACACACGTGGTTAAAAACCTGACATTTTGGAGTCCTTATCTTCGTCTTGCCACTCATTGAGCCCGTGACCTCGGTCAGGTTGTTTCCCCTTGCGTGCGTCAGCTCCCCACCTGTGAGCAGAAGATAATCTCAGCCACTTTGCAGAGAGCAAGGAGGGTCAGCGACCCTCTGAGGAGCGTGGGAGATGTGGAAAGCGTGGTACTAAAGAACTGGGAGGATGGCTCACTCAGTCCTGAGCCTGGTCCTTTTAGCCCCTTTTCCCGGGCAGAACTCACGTTTCCTCTTTTGTTTCCCCCCCTCTCAGTCATCGACAAGTTTGACTACGTCTTTGCAGAGAACGGCACAGTGCAATACAAGAACGGACAGCTGGTCTCCAAGCAGGTAAGTCCAGCTCCCCTTGCAGCCATGGCTCTCCTTCCCCCTGCCCTGCGCCATGGGGAGCAGCGCCTGGCCCCGGGTGGGTGGGCAGCCTCTTCTCCCTTCTCTCCTCCCTCCTCTCTCCCCAAATCACAGATCTGAATGTCCCACTCCTCCAGGTCATGTTCTCAGCTGGGCTTCATGGGAGGTCAAGCATCTTCCTCACTCTCCCTTCTCTTCCCGCAGGCCATTCAGGACCACCTGGGGGAAGAGCTGCTGCAGGATCTGATCAACTTCTGTCTCAACTACATGGCACTGCTGAAGCTGCCCAAGAAACGGTAATGGCCCAAGCCCATGCAAATGGCAGTCGTATCACTGATTTCTAGGGAGCTCTGGGCTCCAGAGCAGAGCCACTGAGCTTGTCTTGCTCCAGGTTTTATCTTGGCATCTAGAGACCCTGTGTAGGATCACTGTCCCACCAAGGTGGCACTGCGGGCAAATAATGGAGGAGGGTCTTTGTTCTGGAGAGTCTGCACTATTTTTTAGCATAATACCTGCTCTTTTGCCCCTCAGATTTGCTTCCCTGGGAAGCAGGGTACTGCCACGGCACACATCAGGGTACAGCCACCGCGTGCATCTCATTTAGGACAATGGTACCAGCTCGTTACTGGTCAGGGCATCAGGCATCATTGGTCGTATGAGTTTCCAAACAGACAAACAATGGCTCTTAAGATGGGAAGTCCAGCGCCTAAGCACACAGTTTCGCACTGTTTCTAACCCGGTGTCGCTTGGTGCCACTGGTAATAGGGCCGGCCTTGCTCTGCCCCCGACCGAGTGTTCTGTCTGCTCCCTGCCATGAGACCCCTCAGCCGCAGGGTGAGGTGGGTTGGTACCCCTCTTCTGAAGGAAGATTAGGCCACTGCCAGGAAAGAAAAGGGTAGTTTTCCATTGGATCGGCTCGCCCTGTTATCACAGAAAGGAGAGAGAGGGAACAGATGGCGTGAAGGTGGAAGGGGAGAGCAGGAGAACCTCTTTCAGAGGCAGCCTGCAGTTAAACCAGCCTGAGTGCAGCGTTAAACCACCCCTCAAACCACGGTTTCACAAACACTTGAAGCCGGCGTGAACCAGCAGCGCTGTCGAAAGCAGCGGCTCTGCCCTCTCCTCGCCCTGGCTGGTTTGTTCCTGCTCTCCCTTGGTGTTTGTATGGTGAACCCAAGCAGGCAAGGTGTCTGGTTGAAATTAAGCTGGTAAAAGTTGCTAAACCGTGATTTGGATTAGTTGCCTGATGTGAGTCACTGTGTGGCAATACGAGGATCGGTGAGAGGGGCCAGGGTGGCTCCTTGCAACAGGACTGCTGGCTGAACATGCCCCCCAAAAAGCGTGGGCTGGGACGCAGAGCCTTCAAGGCTGTTTGGTTGCCTCGTTGCTGTCTGGTTGCCCAACAGCTTGGCAAAGTTCCAACTCCCAAGTGCCTCTGTGGATTTAAGCTTATGGGATTTCTAGCAAAGCAAGGACTTTAACCCACACCTCCCAAGTGTTGGCCTGGGGCGTGAGCCACCAAACCCTTGGTGCTGCAGAGATGCTGCTCCCAGGCTGCCGGCATGGCTGCCCGTGGGTCCATTCCCCGTGATGTTCTTCACTGTGTTACGAGAGAGGAGGTGGAAAGTTTTTCCCCCAGACTCAGAGTGGGAAGCACTTTATCACAGAGCAACAGCGGGCAGGGCTGGGAGGGACATCAGAGGGTTAATGAGCTCAGGGCTCCTCAGCTGGGCAGGGAAGGGGATCTCCCCACTCCAGCTAGGTTTCCACAAGAATTTCAATCTATTTTCAAACAGAACTGGCTGGGTTTATAGCAAAGAGAAAAGAAAGGAGCAGTTTTCTGCTGGCTTAGTGCTTTGAACCAGCCCACCGAGGAAGTGGCAGAGTAGTGATCCCAGTGCCAGGCGAGGGTGGCAAGCAGGAACGGGGTCCTGTCTGTGCAAGCTTAGGTCAGAGTTGCAGTCAAAGGTGCAGGGGACAAAGGGGAGATACAAAAGCTCTGCGGGTCCTGCCTGGTTTGTGTCCCATGAGGAGGTCCTGATTGCTCATCAGCCTGCAGCCGGCCATCAGCAGCGAGTTACACTGAGCTGTTCCATCCCACTGCCCCAGGGTACTGCTAGCTTCACCCAACCCACCCAACATTTGTTAAAAGCCAGGGGTGGAGATGCCACAGTCTCCTCAGGCAGCTGCTCCAGTCCAGGCAATAGCTGTCCTGGCAGTTATCACAACATTAGAGAATGTTTCCTATCGTCTTACCTAAGCTTGTTGCTTCCAGCCTGTCCGCAGGGCACACGGGAACTGTTTATCCCTCTTCTCTTACGGTGTTTTTTTATAAAACTATGAGCCCCTTGGAGACCTTAAGCAGAGTTGGTGATGCCTGGCGTGAAGCACCCAGGAGTGGGCATGGCTTCTCTTCTCCTGCGTGTCCCCGCAGCGACTGCATGCCATGTCACTGAGCAGCCATTCCGCTGGAAAGGTCTGGTTTTCTCTCCCTGCCCCAGTAACGTTGTGCTCTTGCCCACCCACAGAGGAACCTTCATTGAGTTTCGCAATGGGATGCTGAACATCTCCCCGATCGGACGGAGCTGCACCCCAGAGGAGCGAATCGAGTTCTCTGAGCTGGACAAGGTACACGGGCCAGACCTGGGCTCACCCTTCCCTTTGCTGGTTTTGCACCACCACAGATCTCGGGTCTTACCTGCTTCCCTGCTTCCCCAAGGAGAAAGGAGCCCAGCTCCAAGCTGTGCACCAGGCCAACACACGCAGCAAGGTGGAGACAGGGCTGGAGGGTCAGAAAACCCAAGGAGAGACACAGATGAATGGAAGAATTCAACTTCATTGGGGACCACCAGCGCAGTGGGGTGGCTAGCAGGATTCCTTGAGTGGTGGGAGAGCCCCAGGGACTAAGGCACGTATTTAAGAGGGTGTTTCCTCATTTACAGTAACCAGAGATGGCCCAGGAGCTGTCGTCTCTCTCCCACTCTCCCAGCCCCAACAGAGCTGGAACTAATGGGCTTCCCAGACTGGGAGGGCCACGGCAGACCTGCTGGGCAGATCTCTGGAGCGCTTGGCCCATGCTCACAGCACTTTCTGCCTGAGGGAGCTTTCTTGGGATTGAGGGATCGGTTGGACTTTGCAAGACTTTTTAAGCAAAGCTGCAGACTTTGGGTTATGAACTGGGCTTCTGGGAAACCGAAGCAAGTTGCATTTCATTGCCAAGGAAGGGCTGGGATCTGCTCTTCCCAGGAGCCTGCTGGAGCTGCCCTGAGCTGGTGGTCTCTTAGGTGGACACTGGGCAGGACTGGTGAAAGCTGGCTAAATGGCGTTACCCTGGAGCTCGGGGCAGGTGGGAAGCGAGCAGAGCAATCAGTCAGTTGCCCAGCAGACAGCTGACAGTGGATTCTGATAGACTGCCAACACCTAATTATTCAGACCCTCTTTGCTTCCCTTTCCTCCTTCTCCTCCCCAGAAAGAGCGGATCCGGGAGAAGTTTGTGGCAGCCTTGCAGAGGGAGTTTGCTGGCAAAGGCCTGCGTTTCTCTCGAGGTGAGTGGAGGGGGTTGCCCTGGCTTTGCCTTGGCCTCTTTATCCTGTTTCCCATAAATTGCTGGGAAGGGGAGCAGGAATCTCAGCTGTTCCCTTTGGGGGCCTGGAGACCCCAGGAAGAGCACAAGGAGCTTCTGGTCCTGGAGAGCTACCAGAGAGGCATCACGTTCACATCCATGGCAGGGTGACAGCAGAGAATAAACCGTGCTGCAGATTTGCCTCCCTGCGAATCGGCCAGACAGGCGGGTTTCTGTCCCGTGACATTACCCCTGCCTTAATTTCAGTTAGCTCTGCGGAGCCCACCCTGCCCAGAAGGTCTGTTCTGGCTCAAGCGTCAGCAGGAGGGTGGCCGGCAGAGCTCCAGGCACAGGTACTCCTCTCTAGGAATGAGGCAGGAGCTTCATGTGCCTCTCGGCTCTGGGGCTTTCTTGGGAGGGTTGGCTATGAGGGAAACATTTTTCTTCCTGGAGGAAGAGCTGCCGAAAGGCAAAGAGTTTGCAGCTCCGTGCCATGGGCTTTTGCAGGGCCACTTCTTGAGGTGGCTCTTACAGCCAGCTTAACGAAGATGAGGAACCCAAGGAGGGGCTTGAGCAATCCTGGGGGGTCTGGCCAGGATGGGGAGGAAAATGAGGGTGTGTAAGTGGTGGGGTTGATGCTGGAAGAAGACCCCCCGCAGTGCAGATGGGCGTGTGTGAGATAAGGAGGTGCCGTGTGGCAGCCTAGCCAAAGGGCAAGGGGGTGACAAGGCTGAGAGGTGGCAGGTGAGACCCCACTCTTGCACCCAGAGTGGGCCAGTACCGAGGGTCTGGCCCTGGCCCTCAGGGCTTTCCTCCTGAGAGCCTCCCCTTGCCGTCAGCATCCTTCCAGGGACATCCCGTGCTGCCCACAGCACTGACACACACCGTTTGTCACAGCAGAGAAAGACAAGGTCCCTGCCGACGTGTCCTCGCAGGCACCGGGGACGAGAGCAGAACAATGGGCCTTTCTCCTCTGACTTTGGGAAGCCGCCATGAAGAGCCCGGGCCTGTTGTGTAAAAGCATGAAGACAAGGGGAGCTGCGGGCCCCCCCTGCCACCCCGGCTCCTCCACAAAGAAAACGCGGGGTGTCTCAGGTCAGGCATCCAAAAACAGGGACACGCGGAAACGGAGCTCTTCTGCTAAGCTGGCTCCGTGTGCCTTGTCCCAGGCTGTGGAGGACGCAAGCCCCAGAGGTGGTAGGAGGTCTCCCTGCAGCGCCCCAGCCCCATGCTCTGCCTAGGCGAGGGATGGTGCTGGCTCTCCTCCACAGCACCTCTTCTCCCTTGGATTTCCGACCCTCTCCAGCTGGCATCAGGACTCCCTTCTTGCTGCCCAGCTCTGTTTAAAAGGCCAGAACGCAGTGAAATGCAGCGTTTTTCACAGGTAAATGGCTTTGGGTACAAAACCAGGAAGGATTTTAATGAGGTCAACCAAGTTTAGGTCCTGCTCTGATGGTGGCTTCTGTTGCGAACCTGGGGGCATCCCCATCCCTGAGCTCGCGGGGCACTTGCTCCCATCTGTATCACACTGCCCTGCCTGGGGCATCCTGTCCGGTAGTGAATCCTTTGCCCCAAGCCGGACACACAGGCTCCATCCCCAGCTCCTCGGGCTCCAAGGAGGGTTGGTTTGGGATCCCCAAACCGACGGGGACATCTCCACCAGCCAGGGAGGAGGGGAGCACAGCATCAGGACGTGCACGTTTGAACAGCCCAGGGGATCGGTGCCTCTCCCCCAGGAGGGACTGTCCCTGTGGGTACCCGTCTACTCACCCCTTCCTAAGAGAGGTAGGGTTAAGATTTGTGAAGAAGGAGAGCGTGAAACTCCAGGATTGCTGCTGGCCCAGTTTATTGCAGGGGGTCCCCTTGAAACCGAGAGGAGCGGAGACCTGAGCTGGCAGGAGGACGCACATCCAGCTCAAATCCCCGTTCCTCCCGGCTCTGAGCGAGACCCAAACATAGGTGTGCCCCAAGTCGTGGGCTTTGTTTTGGGAGGAACACGTCACCTGTTGGGTGACTGGGTGCTGGGACAAGGGTCTGGCTCTGCAGCCTGTGCACGCAGCAGGGCAGCTCGAGAGGGCAGGGAAGGTGCTGCCTCCAAGCACCCCAAAAAAGCAGTGCGGTGCTGGGCTAAACTCCGCCTGGTCTAAGAGCAAGGGCTAGGAAGTTCGTTAACACTTGGTGGCTGTGGGTGTCCATGTGCACGCTTGTGCACGCTCTTTGGGAAAGCACCCTTAACCTCTCTACGTTTGCCCCGTCTGCCTTGGTGCCCCTCCAGATGTTGGCAACCCGCACTTTCTTGTGGCAAGAGGTGACAGGCCAGGGCCATGCCCCAATGATGTCAACGGGTTTGTGGTACCTCCAGGGCAAGGTCCTTGGTCCTTGATCAGCGTGCGGGGCCTGCTCGGGGGCTGCAGCACGGCCAGCTGGGACCCCTGAGCTGTGCGCGGCATGGGGTTTGCTTTGCCTGTGCAGGGTGCTGGGAGCCCCTGGTCCCTGCAGGGTTAAGGAGCATCGGAGCCGTGGGTTTGGTCCACGCAGGAGCCTGGGAGAGAGCTTGGTGCCAGTCTCCATGGACGTTGTCCCCCACTGGGACACCGAACATGCTACCTGCAAGGCGTGACCCCAAATCTGCCCTGATAGATCCATCTCTTGGGACCTCCCACCCCAGCATCCCCCCCCC